TGGGGGTGGGGGTAGGGGGGGGTCCCTTTAAGCACAGACCTCAGAGAGCCTCAGGCAGCAGCCACACAAAGTAACTCCTGACCTGATGCCCTGCCGGACCTGGTTCTGTCCGGCCTTAAATGTGATTCATCGTCCACTCAGTGTGGATGCGCTATTTTGAAATAGCAAAAAGCTATTTCGAAATGCATTTTGTGTGTAGATATGTTATTTCAAAATAAGCTATTTTGAAATAACGCTGTAGTGTAGACATACCCTGAGAAGATGTCGGGGAGTAGGACAAATGTTTTGAACCTCAAAAATGTGTGTACTTTTCATCTCCAGTGATTGCTGTGTTTGTCCCCACTCTTCCTCCTTTTCCAGTTTCAGCCTGTTTGCCATTTCTCCCAATCTTAATTCAAGCACATATGCTTAGTGACGTGCTAAATAGTGAGTAGTCACATTTTGTGTATTATAAAGCTAAGCACATGCCTAAGTATTTGCAGTACAAGGGCTTTTGATTGTAATATGGTCATAGAGTCTGTGATTTAGATTTTCAGTGTTTTGTAAAATGTATGTATTTATGGTGCTGTGCAGTATTTATTATTTGCATTCTAGTAATGCCTTGAGACCTTAACCAAGACTAGTGTTGTTACAATATATAATAGCATTTCTGAAGTCCATACTAATGAAAATTAATCTTGTATACAACAGCAATTAGAGACAGCTTTCTCAAATGTCAGATTTTTTTTTTACTGATAGACACATGCCGCTGAGTGAGTTTTTTCCTTTGCGATTACAGGGCTATCTTAGTGAAGAACAGTTAAAAGCCTTGAATACTCACAGACAGATCTTGAATGATAAGAAGCAATCTGAGATACAAGCAGAATTCAAGAAGGCTATAGAGTCTGCTGAACGGGAGGAACGTGGCTGCTCCAAAAGAGATGTGTCTACTGTATGGAAATTACGTGTTATAGATTATAGAAAACGAGAAACAGATAAAGGTTAGTACTGAAAAATGTAAACAACTTCAATTTTTAGCATAATAGGCAGAGTTAAATTCTTGGGATGAAATAGAAATTAAAGATAAATAATCAAGGACTGATCCAACATCTAAACAAATACTTTGCCTCAGTTTTTAATAAGTATACCAAATAATTTGGGTAGTGGCAAGATGGCTAATGGGAATGAGGATATAGAAATAAAAAATTACCACATTAGAGATGAAAATCAAATTTAGCACCTTAATGGGACTGATTAAGGGGGGGGGGGCTTGGATAATTTATAAGAATTAAAGGAACTAGCACATGAAATTGCAGTCCCGATAACAAAGATTTATAATGAATCTGTAATCTTGGGGATCATACCTAATGGCTGAAGAATTGCTAATGTAGTACCTATTTATAAGATAGCTCTCCTTCCCCCAAAAAAGAAGTTCTGGGAAACTACAGACCTGTTAGCTTGACCTTAATCGTATGCAAGGTCTTGGGACAAGTTTTGAAAAAGTAGTTAAGACCATTGAGGTAAAGAGTAACTGGGATAAAATACAAAAGAAATATTGTGCCAGACCAACCCAAATTCCTTTTTTTAAGAAGATAACTGATTTTTTAGATAAAGAAAATGAAACAGATCCACTCTACTTGGATTTCAGTAGCACTTTTGATACAATTCCACATAGCATATTATTAGTTAAATTGGAGAAGATGGGGATTAAGATGAGAATGGAAAAGTGGATAAGAAACTTTCAAGGGGAAACTGCAACAAGAACTTCTGAAAGGTGAACTATCCGTCTGGAGGGAGGTTACTAGCAGAGCTCCTCAAGGATCAGTCTTGAGAGTTTGGGACCTGTTTTTAACATTTTTATTGATGACCATGGCGATTGCTAGCAGAAAATATCTCACAACAGCCAATGAAACTAGACGGGGAGTGCTCTGAGTTACTACAGAGAAATCTTTCCTGGATGTTTTGCTAGTGGTCTTGCCCACAGGCTAACTGATTATCATGTTTGGGGTCTGGAATGAATTTTTCCCCATGTCAGTCTAGCAAAGACCCTGATGATTTTTGCCTTCCTCTGCAGCATAGGAAAAAGGACATTTGCAAGTTTAATGTAAATAGTGGATTCTCTTTAACTTTAAGTCTTTAAATCATGATTTGAGGGACTTCAATAACTGGGCCAGAGGTTAGGACTCTATAATAGAAATGGGCAGGTGAGATTCTATAACCAGCAATGTGTAGGAAATCAGACTAGATTATCATGATAGCCCCTTCTGACCTTAAAATCTGAGTCTGTTAGTTGAACAGACCAAGAATGTCTTAAGTTGAATTTTTTGAAGTCTCCTTGTTACTGCATACTAATATATTTTCTGATTCTATATTTAGCAATTATATTGAGTATATGGCGTCCATTATCAGATATATGTTCCTTATTAAAAGAAGGTGGTCGGTACAGAATATACCAGCTAACAGCTTCACGATCCAAAGGCAAACCAGACGCTGTTAATTGTACATTAACAGCTACAAAGAAAACTCAATACCTGCAACTACAGGTAAAAACCTTTAACTGTGAATATATGTCTTAGACTAACAGCTTAAATATTTATATAAGCTTTATGGCATAAATGTTAAGATCTATTTCTTCAGGCTTCTCAGGAAGTACTGTTAGAGATCTATATTCCAAGGAAAGCTCTGCAGTTCAGCATGCTGTTGGATCCATCTTTTCGGCCATCCTGTGCTGAAGTGGATTTAGTGGGATTTATCATTTCTGTTAGCAAGAAAACAGGTATGTTGTGCACTATGTCCAAATTTTTCATATTTAAACAGATCATATTAAAATATTCCAAATTTCTAAGCTGATCTTGGTGGTGTACCTGCAGACTTGTACCTATCTAATGTTTAGGTTAGACAGACCATACCATAGAATCGTAGAAATGTAGAACTGGAAGGGACCTTAAGAGGTCATCAAGTCAACCCACCTGTGCTGAGGGAGAACCGAGTAAATCTAGACCATCCCTAACAAGTGTTTGTCCTACCTGATCTTAAAAGCCGATTCCTGCATGTTTCCCTGCAGAGGATGCTCCAGCTTAGGCTTATCGGAAAGTCAACTACTCATTTACATCCCTAATTTCTTTTTTATTTTTCAGGTCATTAAAGAGCTCCTGATGGAGTAATATTGGCCTCTTCCTGTTTTTTCTCTTTGCTTTGCATTGAGTTAGTTGGCAATTGTGCCTTTAATATTGTCTCCTTGAGAAACTGCCAGCTCTCTAGGACTCCTTTATCCTTTAGATTTTTTTCTCCAAGGGACATTACCTACTAGTTTTCTGAGTTTGTTAGTCTCCTTTATTGAAGTCCATTGTCCTATTCTGCTGCTCTAATTCCTTCCTTTCTGTAGATGCACAAAAGTCATCATGAAATGCCTTCTGCTTTCAGACTTGCCACCAATTCCTCTCTTCTGATCAGAATCAAATCTAAAATGGCTGCCCTCCAGGTTACTGTCTCAACTTTTTTCTTTCAGAAAACTATCACAAATTATTATTATTATTCTATAACAATCTTTTTTTTGTTCCCTGCCATTTAGGAAAAATATATTAATTATTTATCAGGGAAGAACTTAGTTGAGAGAGAGCCAATTTGAGGAGACAAAGGTTTTTTTGAAGTTTGGTCATTCTCATCTATTGCAGGAGTGATTTGTGTCTAGGTTCACTACCTATAAAATTTCTGTCTTCTGTTCTCATGAGCTCTCTTATTTATCAGCAATTGCATGGATCCTGTGGAACCTAGCTGTTGGGGGTGATGGCTGCAGAGAGATTGTGATCTCATTAGTAACTAGGGGAAAAAAGAGGGCTTTTGAATTTAAAACAAAGACCTGGAATTGGAGCCTGCATATTCAGGACAATTTTTCTTGTTAAGCACATGAGCTTCTATGTTTTTTTGCCAGTTAGACTTTTCTCAAGGTATGTGGCTTCATTCCAAGATATAAGCAGCAGTAATCAAATCTGGAGATGACGAATATTTGTTTTTTGTGATAGTTCTGTTCCTGGAAGGATGCAGCACAATCTTCTGGGCAATTATAGAGGGAAATGGGCTGCTTTTGTGGGGGTTAGGCATGAGCTCTCCTCTTGATCAGCAGTTGTATGGATCCAGTGGAACCTAACTGTTGGGGGTGATTGCTTCTGGTAGCACTGGATCCATTGGGGGATCCCCGACTACAGACCAACTTTTAGTCTGAGTTCAGATGCCTTAATAGTAGGGATGTTCTAGATGAAGCAAGTTCTTTGAATCACTTCTCTCTTCCTACCAATGTCATTTCAGTTCATTCAAGTGTTGGTTACAACCAGGCATTGAGTAATCTGGGAACTAGTGCTGGTGTTTACTTAACAAAAGGAAATGTAGAGCTGTTTGCTGCTGATCATAGAATCATAGAACACTAGAACTGGAAGGGACCTTGAGAGGTCATCAGGTCCAGTCCCCGGCCCTCATGGCTAGACCCAGTACTCTAGACCATCCCTGACAGATGTCTATCTGATGGACTGGTACTTCTTGCATCTCCGTCTGTGGTGTCTCACTAGCTCTCTCCGTGACTTAATGTGTATGTTGTTAAAGAGGAGAGACTGAGAATACAAGAATCTACAGGTAAGGACTCCAGAAGTGGAGGAATAATTGTTCATAATCTTGGTTTGGACTTAGAAGGACATTTCAATATTAGACAATCCACACTGGGGCAAGTGGGGGAGGGGAAGATGAGGGGTCACATGTCCCCAAACACTGTGGGCAAAGAGGGACTAGTCAGCAGCCAGAAGGAACTAGCAGGGGGAGCCTGGCGCCTGCAGCAGGCGTCCACCTCCTCTTCCCTGCACTCACCAGCAGCGGCAAGGGGAAATGGAACAAGGTGGCTACAGCTGCTTTGAGCACTCTCCAGGGACGAGGTGGGACCACCCCACACTCTGCAATGGGAAGCAAAGTAATGCAGCCAGAGGAGTGCCCTGAGCTGGGGCTGCCTTGCTCTGCTTCCCCCTGCCACAGCGCCCAACCTTAGTCTCCCACACTGCCTTGGTTGGGGGAAGAGGCAGGATGGGGGTAAGGTAGAGGCAGAGCAAGGGAGAGGAGGGTGGGGTCTGGGGCAGAGTGGGGGGTGTCCTGGCTCTTCCACAGGAGGTAGGGAATCACGTGGCTGGTATCCCCTCATCTCCTCTCTTACCAGTTGCCTCTGATTTGCACTTTCTAATGCTGCAGAAGGACAACAGGATGAGTGTGGTTTTATTTCACATGTCAACAGACAGATTATCTCCAGAACAAGTGGTGTCTTAATACCATGACCTGACCTGAAGTTGACCTATTGAATCTTCTGTCTCTAGTTTCTTTGAGGGTATTGTACTGTCCAAACTCTTCTCCCTTGTACTGCTTTATCACAAGTACTGCTGCTGCTTTTGTCCTTTTCTCTTGGAAACAATGCAAGTCAAAGGTTCTTCATAGATTGCTTGCAATGTTATTGTCTTGAACTGTCATTTCAGAAGCCCTGAATTGTCCTGCTACGCTTGATGTGTTTTCTTTTATACTGAAACTAATTAGATTACTATTAACGGATTTTCACCAGCAGTTGTTTGTGAAGCATTCTGCTTTCAGACTGTAAAGTATTTTATTCATTTCTGAATAGAGACTTTTCATAATTTTTACTTTCATCTCCTGGTTTAGTTGTCTGCTACTTTGCAGGCATAATAATTAGTTTCTACCCAAAAATTATACTTGCAACTTTTTAAAAAATATCTATCATTTACAAGTATCCTTCAAATGTAACATGGTTCAAAGACTTACAATGTTTTGGATAATATTTTAAATGACCTAAGGCACTTTACCCCACTAGTATAGACATTTTAAGTATTAGTTTGAGTCCCAGACACATTTGACTTTTAAGTTGTTACAAGCAAAATTCTGTTTTCTCAGTGTAAATATAGAGTACAGTAACTCTACTAAAATCAGTGTAATTACACCAAGTGAACACCAGCATAATTAAGATCAGAATCTGACCTTAAGTAAATTGCAAGTTGAAGGCTTCCTTTCTTTGGATTTTGGAAAAACAACCCAAAAATAATAATAGTGCCAAGTTTTTTTTTCTTTGGAAATGTCTATACTGTATCATTTCTATATAATTAAAATTGTTTTAGGTTTCACTACTCTGGTATATTTGTCAGATGAAGATCATAATCTAGTGGCTATCAAGTTCTGGACAGACCTTAAGCAACTTGCTATTGAAGACATAATTAATCCCTTTACATTGATTTCTGCAAGCAATCTTCAATGGCGATCTGAATTCAAATCAGATATTCCTACATTATTTGCTGGAGACCTTTCTATATTCTCAGCAAGTCCAAAGGATAGCTATCTTCAAGAGAGACTTAATAAACTGAAGAACACAACAGAGGTAAAGTTGTGAATTTTTAATGCACTAGTTATTAGTACAGTATAGTGTTTTTTTCAGTATAGAGTCCATTATCTCAGGTAATATTCTGACCAACCTGTGGTAATACTGATAATATTCAGTTTGATTGGTGGGATTTTTTGGAGGGGGGGTATTTGTTTTTCTTATGGAGGATCTTCCATATCACTCATGCAGCTTCTTCATTTTTTTTTTTTTTGCTTTGCCACTTTAATTGGCTGAAATTAAAGATGTAAGAAATACACTGCTTGTACAGTTGAGCCCATTTGTTAACAACAGTTTACTGTCAGAATTTTTTAATGACTGTAGCTTTCCAACTGACCTGTGAAATCAACCAAGCATGTATTTTCTCCCATGTATTTAATTTTCTTTCAAATTTATACAAATATATATACACTTAGAATTATTCTTCAAATAGCAAAACTTTGTACAGGGTTATTGCTCTACCAAGTAATTTCATATAGCTAGTACATATAAAAAGTAATATTTATATTTGAAAAATCATTGACAAGTACCTGAAATAATGGGCATTGACTGCAGTTTGGCACAGGATGCCAGAAATTTGTCATTCACATTGAATAAGAAATCATTTACTGACATTGATGCTAATCTAAAACAAAATAAATGTGCTTGTTTAGTAGGTGGTGGTGATGGGAAGTTTAAAAAATTTCCATTTGCAGTTACTAAGTATAATTAACAATATTTTACATTGTTCTCTAAGAGCCACAGTAAACTTTTTTGACAAATTTACCACTTGAATTAGTACTATTGAAATAATCTACTAGCCATGAGACAAGTAAGATAGTGTTCACAAAGCTCAGCTTGTTTAAGTAGTAAACATAATTTCAGATGTTATATTTTATGCATATTTTAAAAACCACACAACTTGCTTGCATTTTTCTCTCGTCTGTCTTGTAGAATTTAAGTTGCTTTTGCAGTGATGCAGAGCACAAACTGATGAAGTTTCTTCAAAAAAATTCCCCACAACAATATAACTTGCCTAAAGAGTGTGGCTTAGATCCCCTTTCTCCCTCCTGGAAGTCAGGACTTGATACGGGGAATAAACCTCTGGTAAGTCTATCGAAACATTGATTTTTACACTTCCTTAGACCTCTCATAGTTGGAAAACGGTATATGCAAAACAGCCCCGGGGTGGAATTTCTCTAGAACTGTTCACAATCTCAAGGACTGCAATAATCCTTTCCCCTCCCCTCCCCTCCCCTCCCCTGTTTTTAGTTCTTGGAGTGCTGTGGTAGCCCTCCTGTAAGGAGCAGAGTACAAACCCTAGCCAAAAACATAAGAACATAAGAACGGACATACTGGGTCAGACCAAAGGTCCATCTAGCCCAGTATCCTGTCTACCGATAGTGGCCAGCACCAGGTACCCCACAGAGGGTGGACCAAAGACAATGATCAAATGATTTGTCTCCTGCCATCCTTCTCTAGCCTCTGACAGACTGAGGCCAAGGATACCATTTTATCCCCTGGCTAATAGCCTTTTATGGACCTAACCTCCATGAAATTATCTAGCTTCTCTTTAAACTCTGTTATAGTCCTAGCCTTCACAGCCTCCTCTGGCAAGGAGTTCCACAGGTTGACTACACGCTGTGTGAAGAAGAACTTTCTTTTATTAGTTTTAAACCTGCTACCCATTAATTTCATTTGGTGTCCTCTAGTTCTTCTATTATGGGAACTAATAAATAACTTTTCTTTATCAGCCCTCTCCACACCACTCATGATTTTATAGACCTCTATCATATCCCCCCTCAGTCTCCTTTTTTCTAAACTGAAAAGTCCCAGTCTCTTTAGCCTCTCCTCATATGGGACCCGTTCCAAATCCCTAATCATTTTAGTTGCCCTTTTCTGAACCCTTTCCAAGGCCAAAATATCTTTTTTGAGGTGAGGAGACCACATCTGTACACAGTATTCAAGATGTGGGCGTACCATAGTTTTATACAGGGGCAGTAAGATATTCTGGGTCTTATTTTCTATCCCTTTCCTAATAATTCCTAGCATCCTATTTGCCTTTTTGACTGCCACTGCACACTGTGTGGAAGTTTTCAGAGAACTGTCCACGATAACTCCAAGATCTCTTTCCTGATTTGTCGTAGCCAAATTAGCCCCCATCATACTGTACGTATAGTTGGGGTTATTTTTCCCGATGTGCATTACTTTACACTTATCCACATTAAATTTCATTTGTCATTTTGTTGCCCAATCACTCAGTTTGGTGAGATCTTCTTGGAGTCCCTCACAGTCTGCCTCTGTCTTGACAATCCTAATCAGTTTTGTATCATCTGCAAACTTTACTACCTCACTGCTTACCCCTTTTCTCCAGATCATTTATATACCATATAACATTCATAAAGTCCAATATAGTGGTCTCAAAATATGCTTCTGTTCATCACATTTGTTACACTTCCTATCTAAGTTTTATGTTAATCAAACTAAAGATCTGCTCCTTGCTTTCGGTTCAAAAGCAACATAATCTATTTTTTTCCTTTTCTATGTCTTTCCTAGCTCTTTTTTTTTCCCAACCTTTAGTCATTTAGAATATATTAGGTCATACCTGATAAGGCATTTTCTAAATCCTCACCATCTGATGGAAGAGATTTCCCATATAAGAAGTTTAATTTGAGATCCAGTGCCAAACTGTTCTCTGCTTTGATATGTGGGCACACAGGGACCATCCAGGAATCATACAGCTTTTTTCTGTTAACTTTAGCTTAGAATAGCTAATACCAGAACATTGACTAATGTGCCCAGTCATAAATGGTGGCACAGTATTATTTGTCCAGTTTTCTACTGTATGTGGAAATATGAAATTTTAAAAATAAGGAGTTTGACTCAACATTAAAACTTTTTCTTTTTTTTAATTAGATTTCTTCTCCTAGTAGCGAAATAAAGTGTCAGAGCTCTTTGTCAACCAGCAAGCATGACCTGAAACTTGTTCTACGAAGCTCAGCAAAAATGACCCCACACATTTCTTACAGTAAAGAATCCCCCAAGAACTGCAAAAAAAGAAGGAAAGCTCTGGACCTGCTTAGTCAAATACCCTCCCCTCCTCCAGTAACACCAATCAATTCATTTGTTTCTCCATCTTTGAAGAAGGCTTTTCAGCCGCCACGAAGCTCTGGTGTTCAGTATGACGCATCACTGAAGAGAACAAATCATAACTCTGATCATATCAACTCTTTTAAAGGGGTAAATGAAACTGACAGTCTTCCTAATAATGACTTAGTTGCTGATGAAGAACTTGCAATGATAAACACACAAGTGCTTTTGTATAATTTCCAAGAAGGAAAGAAGACTGATTGTGTGGGTGAATCCACTAATCCATCAGATCACCTTTTACTTAAAAATAATTGTCTTATGTCTCTTATGGAAACAAAAACTTCACAAAACAGTACTGATGGAGCTGCGGCACTGGAGAAAGACACAAGGGAAACTGAAGGCTCATTACCAGTCCAAAAGAAGCTACAAAGGCAAAGAAAACGAAAATGCTACTAAATGTATTATGTACAGTAATGTATAGACTTTATATTTAAATGATTATTTTTACTCTTTTCACATTGTAAATGTTTTACAGTATCTAATTATATTTAATAATAAACATCTATATTGCAAAAAAAAGTTTAATGAATATAATTTAAACCACAGAAAACCCTAGAGTTTAACAAAAATGGTGCAAACTTTTATCCATTAAAAGCTCCTTCAAATCAATACATTAAAGCAGTGCTGCTCACAGTGGTGTAGTTAAAAATCTCCCAACATTTAGTCGTGAACCCATATTTTGAGCCTCATGTATTGATGAAGTAGAATAGAGTATTTGTTTCAAATAAAACGGTTGGCTTTTCTCATTTCTTGGATTATCAGGGTAGTCATTAGAAAATATTTATTTAGCTGCTGAGCCAGAATCCCACAGATACTGTTGGATTCATCATAGTACAACCAACTATGTAAATTATAACCAACTTAATTTCAGCAGAGTTACCTTTTCTGTACTTCTCTAACGTTAAGATCTCAGAAGGCAGCCATAGTTTTGATGCATCGATTGTTAAGAATATCTGACATCTGCTGGGAAAATATTCTGACTCTCAAGCAAGTAGAATACAGATGTTTTCTTGTTAGTATTTCTACTAGTAGTAGTAGTTGTTCAATGAACAGATCACCTACAATTGTAACATCATGAAAGGGGCTGACATCTTTTCATTAATTTCTCATATGTAAACAATCAAATTCACTTGCCCAGAAAACATATCCTTCAACTCCAGGACTGAATACATTTTTTTTTACTGACCATTTTTATTTTAGTTTTGGTGGAACATACCTAGTGAGATTTCTGAGCTAGACTTCTCCATGACAAATCACAAAGATTCACTAGAGCCAGGGGTGAGGAACCGACATCCTGTGGGTTGGCCTACAAGGCTTGGGGGACCACATCCCACCAGCTGCAGTGGTGGTCTCAGACCACAGCGGCGCCTCCAGGGCAGCCCCGGATTGCATGGCCATGGCAGCAGTGGCTCCAGCCTCCGGGACCAAATGGCTGCAGCAACAGGGACTCCCTCCAGGGCGGCCAGAACCTCATGGCTGCAGCTGCTGCTGCAAGGGAGCACAAAGCCAGGTAAGGTTTCCCCTCATGTCCAGACCCCTGACCCCATCTTTTCCCTCCTCCCCACCTCACCCCTTCTTCAAGAGGGCTTATTCCTGAGCGGGCGCATCATAGTTCTTGCGCAAGAACTCGCGGCCAGTGTAGACAGGCGGCAAGTTTTTGCGCAAAATCTTGCAAATGTAGACACAGCCCCTGAGCGTCCTCCTGGTCCTTCTGGGCCAGGATCCGTTGCATGCCTTGGAGGATGACCACGTGCTGTCTCATCAGGTCCCCCTGGACCCTCCTGCACTTGTGGCTCCCCCAGGGTCAGGCGGCTGCCTCAGCTGGCGGTGATCGCCCATTAGTGACGCTAGTCCGGCTGTGGAGAATAAAGAGGAAGAGGCGGTCAGTCATCCATGCAGACACTGTCCCTGAGTCCGCGCCCTCCTCTGTGAGCTGAGAACAAGAGTCCTCAGGCTAGAGGGCAGGAATGTTCCTGGAGCAAGGCTATGTGTGGCCTGGACATCGGCCCTGCCTCACAGAGGCCCTGAGGTGCCCAGGGGACCATGCTTCTTGCTCCCCCCCATCCTCATCCCACAGACAGGCAGGGCAAGGGAAGTGGTCGGCCACAGTGGGATGCCATGGGCAGGAGAGGGGCCTGGAGC